ATGTGACCCTGGAGCACAAAAGCAGTCTTAAGTCGCTGGGGTATATTTGTAGCAATAGCCAAAAAAACATTGTATGGGTCAAAATTATTGATTTTTCTTTTATGCCAAAAATCATTAGGATATTAAGATATTTATGTTCCATAAATATATTTTGTAAATTTCCTACTGTAAATATATCAAAACTTAATTTTTGATTAGTAATATGCATTGCTAAGAACTTCATTTGGACAACTTTAAAGGCGATTTTCTCAATATTTTGATTTTTTATGCACCCTCAGATTCCAGATTTTCAAATAGTTGTATCTCGGCCAAATATTGTCCTATCCTAACAAACCGTACATCAATGGAAAGCTTATTTATTCAACTTTGAGATGGTGTATAAATTTAAAAAAATTGACCCTTATGACTGGTTTTGTGGTCCAGGGTACTGTATAATGCTGTAAATCACACAGTGTTTAAATATAGTAAATATACACTCACCAGCCACTTTATTAGGTATACCTTGATAGTATCGGGTTGGACCCCCTTTTGCCATGAGAACTGCCTTAATTCATGAACATTCAAACATGTCACATTCAGTCACTTAAATCAACTTTCTTCCCAATTCTGATGCTCGGTTTGACCTTCAGCAGATTGTCTTGATCAAATCGACATGCCTAAAGGCCAAAATATACTTTGGTTTTTACGACGGTCCACGTATAGTGTGCATGATGCAAATTTTGTCACCAGAAGAGTACATGCGTACTGTACGCGCACCATACGATTTTTGTAGAGATGCACTGATACAAAATTTCTCAGCCGATACCGATAGCTGATTATTCAGAATGATATCTGCCGATACTGATAGTTTAGTTTTCTAACGGAAAAAAATCGCTCCCAACTAATGCTGTAAATATCAGCAACCTTAGTTTAAAAGAGTACAAAGACATTTTTATCGGTCATATCTTCTGAAGAAAAACAGAGCAGACGCTGGACAAAGATGAAGCTTTCTAGAGCACATGTGTCGACCGCCTGTGTTCGCGTACACCTCAAATCGACTATACTTTGAAAGGTTACACTTACGATTGTGTGCATATGCTAGCGTACACATAAAAAAATGAAATATACTTTGGCCTTAAGTGCATTGAAGTGCCGCCATCAGATTGGCTGATTAGATTTTTAACAAGCAGTTGAAAAGATGTACCTAATAATGTGGCCGGTGTGTGTACATTTCAAAATAGTATCTACTGTACATTCATTTAGCAGACACTTTTTTAGCGGTATAGTGTTAATCTACAATTTAGTATAAGCTTTACAACTTGTTTATTTATAAAGGTTTATTTTATTAACCTATTTATATGTTGTTGTGCACATAGATGGTTTTATTATGTGTGGACTGAGCTCTTAGCTTCTCATTAATTTACAAATAATTATAAGTACCACATAAACAAGAGCACTTATGCCAAAAATGTGCTTTACATATAAAGTAGAACATGTCATACATATTGTTTAACTTCATATACAAGAATTGCTTATCAGTTTGCTATTTACATGTCTGCATGTTTCTTGTGCCACTTTATTGTAAACTTCTGCCCATTTTCTAGAATCCAAAAGAGTTTTGTTTAAATGGTTTATTATTTTTAATGAATTCTGTCTTCCTGTAGCTATGTTTTGTGGTGATTTATGAGTGTTATGTCTAGCTAAGCTATGTTTACACTACAAGTCATGGGCTATTTCCTGTGCCTTTTCATTTCTCCGTTATGGCAAACGTTCTCGGCTTCCCTTGTTCCTGCAGGGTTCAGCCGATTCGTACACGAGCAGACCTTCGGATTCCGACCTGTCAGCGGAGGAGGACCGCGAGGCGTATCGGCGTGAAGCCGAACGCCAGGCCCAGCTGCAGCTCGAGAGAGCCAAGGTTCCTCAAGCTCTTCTTTAATGAGCTTTTTCAATTTTTTTGCATAGTGGGCAACAATGAAGTGTCAGTCTGCATGTAGCTTTAGAAATGTGTTGGGACGGGATCATCCATACAAATGTGCTTAGAGTAAATATTTTATAAGCATTTAGGTCAATATTGTAAACTTTAAGAGGATCATTTCATTGTTTCTTGATAGTTGCTTATGTTGAAGTACTCGTTGCTGCAGGCAAAAAATAATAATTGTAAAAATGCAAATGACGTTATTAACGTTGATTTCCCTGGCAGTCCAAACCTGTAGCGTTCGCAGTGAAGACGAATGTGAATTATTGCGGGGCTCTAGATGAGGACTGTCCTGTTCAGGGTGCTGCCATAAACTTTGAAGCCAAAGACTTTCTGCACATTAAAGAGGTGAGTTGCATGTACAATACATGCAGACAAATGTGTAAAAGGTTTTGCAGGTCAGTCCTTCTTGCTAACAGTGCCCATAATAATGCATCATAATAGTGCTGAGCATGCTTTTCCTTGTGTTTATTTTGCAGAAGTACAATAATGACTGGTGGATTGGAAGGCTGGTGAAAGAGGGGGCAGACATCAGCTTCATTCCCAGCCCCCTCCGACTGGAGGCCATGAGACTGAAACAGGAGCAGAAACAACAGAGGTCTCTCTTTCTCTCTTTGTCAAGACTGTGAACAATTGCATCTATTTCAGAAGTTTAATCCATGAAAACATTTGATTACATATGGACACGTTTGCAAACTCAGCCCAGGTCCATTAAATTATATTAACAGATAGAACTTTTGATTTGAGTAGTTTATTAGTAAATATTGCAGTTTACATTAACTAAGATTAATACATGCTTTAGAGGTATTGGTCATTGTTAATTCATGTTAACTAATTTTGTTAGCTACTGCTAAAAAAAAAAGTTCACCCAAAAATGGAAATTTGCTGAAAATTCAGGCCATCCCAGATGTAGACGAATTTGTTTCTTCATCAGAACAGGTTTGGAGAAATGTAGCATCACATCACTTGTTCACCAGTGGATCCTCTGCAGTGAATGGGTGCCGTCAGAATGAGAGTCCAAACAGCTGATAGAAACATCACAATAATCCACAAGTAATCCACACCACTCCAGTCCATCAGTTAATGTCATGTGAAGTGAAAAGCTGCATGTTTGTAACAAATCCATCATTAAGGTGTTTTGACTTTAAACCGTTGCTTCTGGACAAAATATGGGTCCATAATCCATAATAACACTTCCTCCAGTGGAAAAAGTCCATCCTCTGTTGTCCTCTCACATCAAAACCCACAGGCATATTTGTTTAAAACTGTTTTGAACTGTTTCCGCTTGTAACTGGTGCTTGATCTGTGCATATTTCTCTCCTGACATAATGCATAATAATGCTTCCTCCAGGGAAAAAGTCCATCCTCTGTTGTCCTCTCACATCAAAACCCACAGGCATATTTGTTTAAAACTGTTTTGAACTGTTTCCGCTTGTAACTGGTGCTTGATCTGTGCATATTTCTCTCCTGATTCAGACGAGACAACCTTTTCAGAAAACATTATTATGAATAGAGGGCTAATATTTTAGACGTAAAGGTTTGAAGTTAAAAACATCTTAATGATGGATTTGTTTCTTACAAACATGCAGTTTTTCGCTTCACAAGACATTAACTGATGGACTGGAGTGGTGTGGATTATTGTGATGTTTTTATCAGCTGTTTGGACTCTCATTCTGACTGCACCCATTCACTGCAGAGGATCCACTGGTGAACAAGTGATGCAATGCTACATTTTTCCAAATCTGTTCTGATGAAGAAACAAACTCGTATTTCATGTTTGGGAAACTATTCCTCAAATGGAACCTTGTTGTAAGGTGTTACCGAATTTATTTAATGTTTTTCTTAATCCTCTTATTATTTAAGCTATATCTTTTGTTGCACACATATCAAGTTGTCTCATATAAAATCTAACCACCCACCAAATCTGACGATTGAGTCCCTTTATCCTTATAGGAAAGCAAAGTGTCCAATGGTTGCACATGTCAGAATTATACACATGCAGTGGGTGGTGTATTGTTCCAGTACTGCTTTTTGCATACTATGAAGCTGGGAATTGAGATTGTCCAACTACAGATGCCAAAATATGTCTCAATGATAATATTTTAATGAAGCTGACAATTCTGGTAATGTCCAGATAGCTTACCAGCTCTGTAAAGGCATTTGCTGTTGCTCTGTGATGGTGATAATGTTTGTCTTTCTCCGCAGGAAAAGTGGTAACTCCTCCTCAGGCCTGGGCGACATGGTATCAGGAGGTTGGAGATCCACGCCGCCATCTGCAGGTGAGAGTGAGTATGACAGGGCCTGGGTGCCATGCTGCTTTGCAGGGGGTGTGTGTGGCTGGGAATGCTGCCCCAAATGAGCAAGGTATCAGTAGGGCTGAAGATCAGTGAGTTTATTCTTCCCTTTCTTTTGTTCTTATTCTTTGCTCCTCTTCTTAACGTAATGCATGTTCTGTCGCAGGTTAAGCTTCCACTGTCAAATACAGTAGAATAACACCAGTAAAAGTTCAGAATAGAGTAAATATTAGAAATTTTGCTTCTAAAATCTTCTGAATGCTGATTCTGACATGTTCTCTTGTTTTCAAAAGCCAAACAGAAGCTAAAGCAGGTAGGTGTGTTGATATGGATTTGTGTTAGATATCTTATAACAATCTCTCTTTGAGATTGGTCAGATTTGAGAAAATAATTTATTGAGGTGCTTATATCTTATAGCCTTTGGCATCTCTGCCCAAAATAGACATAAAACTGCTAAAAAAAAATACTACTGTGTTTGGGTTTGGTACGATTTTTTTAATGTTGTTTTATATTATGTTTTATGCTCACCAAGGCTGCATTTTTTTTTTAATTAAAAATATAGTAAACAGTAATATTGTGAAATATTATTACAATTTTAAACTGTTTTCTATTTAAATATATATTTAAAATTGCAATTTATTCCTGTGATGCAAAGCTGAATTTTCAGCATCATTACTCCAGTCTTCAGTGTCACATGATCCTTCAGAAATCACTCTAATATGCTGATGTGATGATCAAGAAATATTTCCTTGAAAACTCTTGTGCTGCTTACATTTTTGTGGAAAATGTGATACATTTTTTTTTTTTACCTTTGATCAATTTAATGCATCCTTTCTGTATAAAAGTACATGTCTTCTTACTGGCCCCAAACCTTTGAACAGTATTGTATGCCAGAACAAGGTCTGTATTTATTTGAATGACTGTTAAGACTTTTTTAGAGTACCGTGCATAAAATATCCGTAAATTAGATGTCTTAAAGTCTGCATGAAATCATAATGTACACTATTTACTTTGTTAGCGCACATTGCTAGGCTTGAGGTGAACAATTAATCTGTGCAATTCAATCCATTGAAAAAAAATTGCCTTGGTAATCAAAATCTGAACATTTGCTTCCGCTCTGGAATGGCGTTCCTTCTCTGATGACAACAGTTTAATGGCTTGGGTAGAATATCCTTAGACATGTCACTCCAACCGTTAGGAAAGGATATGCGCTAAAATAAAACCCTGCCCTCTATTCGATATTCCGTTTCAGTTGGAAATACGTCACAATACTGAAGTAAAGTCAGCAGCAACTTCTGGTTCACGCAGACTTTAAGAAATCGCACTTGTCTCTGTGACAGCTCTAGATGCTGTAAACAATAAGACAATGTCTGACAACGTCTCATGCATCTCAGAAAATATAGCAGTTTGTACCACGAATGTTGCCAGTCTGTGCTGATACATTACGGAAACCGTTCCTAATCCAGGTTTGTAGTTGTAGTTAATGCTGTAGTTCTATGTAACATTGCCACTCTTGTCTTTCTCACTTAGACTGAACACATTCCTCCATATGATGTGGTGCCGTCCATGAGGCCTGTGGTTCTGGTTGGACCTTCACTGAAGGGCTACGAGGTGAGCACTAAACATTATACAGCCTTCTGATTTGGTCTTTTAAATTCGTTGTCTCATGTGTCGTGACTGTCAACAGGTGACAGATATGATGCAGAAAGCCCTGTTTGACTTTCTCAAACATCGCTTTGATGGACGGTGAGTTTTAAAAGACATCTTGGCACATTTTTGGTCTGTATACGACGTATAAGAATATTTAGTCAACTTTTACTCATTCTTACGTCTTTATGGTGACAGTATTTGTCAAGTTCATAAAAATAGTCTATACAACTCATGTGATTGTATTTCATTTATTTGAAAGCCATACAATAGTTTTGAGCGAGGGATCTTTCTTTCACATCATTAAGTGCACTAATGTATTGTTATGCGGACAGGATTTCTATAACCAGAGTGACCGCTGACCTTTCTTTGGCTAAGAGATCAGTTCTCAACAAGAGACCCATCATGGAGAGGTCTAACACACGAACCAGTTTGGGTGAGAACATCACAAACTAAAGATGTGCTATAATGTACACCCTTCAGTGCTCACCAATAAAGATGGCTCAAGGCCAGAACGTCATGTGCCCATGTGTTGATATTGCATACTCAAACAATTGGTTTTATGCGATGTAACGATCACTGTTGTCGCAAATTCTGTAAAAAACTGTAAGAATGAAAAAGGCATCTGGCAGATTAAGTAAAAAATTGTTCAAACTAGCAGACAAAATCTGTATCATTGAGCTCTGTCGGTACATTAGAGCTTTTGAGCATTTTCTCCCTTTTTTGTTCTTGGGCTTAATGTTTTATGGGCGGTATTTGTCTGTTTGCCCACTCAGCGGAGGTACAGAGTGAGATCGAGAGAATATTTGAGCTGGCCAAAACCCTTCAGCTGGTGATTCTAGATGCGGACACCATTAACCATCCAGCACAACTAGCTAAAACCTCGTTAGCTCCTATTATTGTGTACGTCAAAGTCACCTCTCCAAAGGTAAGTCTGATGATCACATGTACACTGTTTAAAGGAATATGCTGAAAATATATTTAAAAAATATATTCCTCTCTGTCAACAGCAAAATAGATACTTCATTGTCAAAACTAACCCAGTTTCTTTGATTTCTCTTTGTTATTGGCAGGTCCTACAGAGATTGATAAAGTCGAGGGGTAAATCACAGAGCAAACACCTCAATGTTCAGATGATGGCAGCAGATAAACTGACTCAATGTCCTCCTGTAAGTTCTTGAAGTTTAACACACACAAACACACATGCATGATTTAGAGAGGTGTTTTACAACACTGTAGATTCAACATTAGTGTTAGTATGGTAATGTTGTCAGGATCCATTTTTCATAGATAATAGTTTTGGATTTTTACAATATTTCCTTCCCCTACAAAAGAAGGAGATAGGCTGAAGTTTTTAGGGCCACCAAAGTATTACATTATATACCGAAAAAGGTAGCAAAAAATGATTTCCCCTAATTTTGGTCCAAATCCTCATTTTGTTCTCTGTAACACAAAAGATATTTTGAGAAACCATAATGATTGCTCTTTTCCGTGCAATTACAAGAAATAGGGACTGGAGCTTTCAAGTTTTAAGGACACAAAAGCACCATAAAAGTATAAGCAATGTCTGATTCTTGAGTCTTTTTCAGGGGTGTTTGTAATGAATTGGTTCATTTCTGAATGTTCTTTCATGTAGCCTCACAAATAAGAGCTAGGGTGGATGTTTCTATTTTCATAACAACCTTTATTTCTCATGCAAAGCTATTGCATTGTTTCAGGACACTTGTTGACTTTTATGGTGCTTTTGCTTCCTTTTTGAAGCCTGAAAGTACCCATAGTACTAGAAAGTACCCATTGCAATTGCATGGAAACTGAAGCTACACAAGGGTGCATAAATGACAACAGTATTGAATTGTTTTGATGAAATATTCAAAATCTGTAACATAATTTAGCTGTTGTCCTCTATATAAATAGACATATATATATATATATATATACGCAGAGCAGACACACAAACTGGGGCATGATGGGGACTGAAGTGAGAATACTCAATCCTCCCATCAACCACACATTCTGGATGTGACAGTCTTCCTGCATAAAGTAACAAAAACATTTTGTTAAAATAACAATAAAAAAATAAAAGAGAGAAAAAAGTGTGATAGTCAAGTTTTTTTGGGAATTATACATATATTCTGACATGTAATTTTTCTTCAGAAAACAAGATTCATGAAACGAAAAAAGGGTTATGAAAAAGCCACTAAATTTTATCACATAAAACTATTATTTTTTGTTTACAATTGTATGTATGTGTGTATATATATATATATATATATATATATAAATAGACCTGATTAGTTTTGCAAGGATTGCAAGTATGAGAACTGCAGGTTTTAAGGGCATTTCATTTAGGGCACAGCTGTTTGACTAAATTGTCTTTTTATTGTGTGTTATTTGGAAATTAAGGTAAATTCTAGTCTCACATTGTTAGTGAATGGGTGTAATTTTAAATGTTTGTTCTTCATTCTCACTTGATTGACTGGCCTTGCTACAGTTCTAGTGCTGTAGATGCTTGCTTTTTCAAACCACATTCTGACAAAAATCATGTTGCATGTTGTTCCATAGAGCCATTATCCTACCTGTCGCTCAACGTCATCTCCCATCACCTGACCACCATCATAAGATATTTTATATAATATCTTCTAATTCCATCCCCCGCATGTCATCTTCTCCTCCACCCTGTCTCCCCATCAGGAGATGTTTGATGTCATTTTGGATGAGAACCAGTTGGAGGACGCCTGTGAGCACCTCGCTGAATATCTGGAGGTCTACTGGCGTGCCACTCATCTGCCCGGCACCACCCCTCTCAACCAATTGGAGCAAAATCTGATGACCCCACCCTCAGCAATCTCCAGTCTACAGGTAAGGTGGCTTTGTGTGAATGGGCGGAAACATTTAAAGAGTTTCAATATGTGACCCTGGACCACAAAACCAGTGTCAATTAAGTGTCAATTTTTCCAAATTGAGATTTATAGTAAATTTAAAACACATATGTGACCCTGGACCACAAAACCAGTCATAAGGGTCAATTTTTTGAAATTGAGATTTATACATATCCTGAAAGCCGAATAAATAAGCTTTCCATTGATGTATGTTTTGTTAGGATAGGACAATATTTGGTCGAGATACAACTATTTGAAAAATCTGGAATCTGAGGGTGCAAAAAGACTTAAGACTGGTTTTGTGGTCCAGGGTCACATATGAAGATATGTAGGAGAGCTATATGTTAATTTTCATGTGCCTTTGACTCAGGATAATCAAAGTAAGTTTACACAAAGGGATTGCAAAACTAGTGTAATGGCACATCTTTAAGAAAACTTAATAACGCATTAAATCACAATATTCACAATACCCAGCAAATATATGATAAATATTCAGTGTATTGGCTTTTTTATTTAAAAGTGCAATGACTACATTATTAAAAAGGAACAAGTTCGTTAGACTAGAGGCCACCAGACTTAGTATGTGTCCTCATCGGTCAGCCAGGAAAGTAGTCCAGAGACTGTGCTAAACATAATCATCTAGAATATAGATGGTATTTTTATATGTCACGGAAACGGGTGTGTGGAGGCAGGCAGGACGACGAGGGGTTTGAGAAACATATCTTATATTTGTGATGTATAAATCCTTGTATGTATCCACCTTATTTAAGATCCTATCAAATTAATGTATACAGCTGACCTCGAAAGGCAGAAAGTTGCAGTTTCACAGAAAATGGTTTCAAGTCACAACTGATTTTCACTGGTATATGGGACACAGTTTGTAAGATTGACAGGCACTGTGGAACTTATTTGTAAATTGAAAAATGCAAAATAAAGGTATTGGCACTAGAGTTCTCAGACTTTTGGAACCCCCTGTATATTTAAAATGTGTGACTCCATTATACTCTTCTGCGTTAAGTAATAATTGGTCAATCCTATATTGCGTTTAACAAAACAGATGTGTAATTTTAAAACTGATAATAATTGTTCTTTTTGACAACAGGAAAGTGGTCATTAAATGTTTGTCTGTTCTGTCCTTTCCTCTACTCCATATTTTCACTCTGTCTTTTAGTTATCTTGGGTCCACAGATGCTTGTAATACTGATATGTTGTAAGTCTCAATCTGTCTGTTCTGTGTCTCATTCATGCCTGACATCTTTGCAGTTCTCTGAAACACAGGAATTAATTGAATGAACGCTTACAAACCTGCGGTGAGTAGGTGGGATGGTCAGTCTACCTTTCCCCACCCTGATACTTCTTTACATCCTCCAATTCCTTCAACCCCTCCAAATGGAAATGGCCATCTGGTATCCCCCACTGGAAAAAAATCATATATCCAAATATATGATTTTGTTATGCTGTTGTTGGTGAGGCATGTAGCTCATTCATAGTTTTTATGTGGCAACAGCATTAGCCCAGTGGGAGTAATACAAAAGCTTTGTTTAAAATTATACAGGCCTTAAAATTACTTTTAATGTTAAGAAAACTCCTCCAAAAGCACATTCAAATGTCCTTTTCAGTATATAGTCAGTGCGTCTTAAGGTGATGATACACGGGGCAACTTTTTGGACAATGTTGCTGGGCAATGTTGCCATCAACGGGCAACCAGGTGAGACACAGGGCCCACGACCCATCTAAAGTATCCAGATAGAAATTTGTTGCCCATTCTCAATGGGAAAGTGCCCAAGCTACATCACTCAGCAACACTGCTCAAAAAGTTGCCCCGTGTATCATCACGTTTAAGGTGTAGGCAATGTTTCTAAAGGTGTAGGCGGCATTTCTAGCAGTGTAGGTATTACATCTTTAAGATGTAGGTAGCATTTGTAAAGATGTAAAATTTGTTGCCCATTCTCAATGGGAAAGTGCCCAAGCTACATCACTCAGCAACACTGCTCAAAAAGTTGCCCCGTGTATCATCACGTTTAAGGTGTAGGCAATGTTTCTAAAGGTGTAGGCGGCATTTCTAGCAGTGTAGGTATTACATCTTTAAGATGTAGGTAGCATTTGTAAAGATGTAGTCAGCATGTCTTTAAAGGGATAGTTCACCCAAAAACACCCAAATTACCCCATGATTTACTCACCCTCAAGCCATCCTAGGTGTATATGACTTTCTTCTTTGAGACGAATCCAATCAGAGTTATATTTAAAAACACCCTGGCTCTTCCAAGCTTTATAATGGCAGTGAATGGGTGTTATTTTTCAATAGTCCAAAAGAAGTCCAATGAAGCACATCCACCCATCATAAAAAGTGTCCCACACGGCTCCGGAGGATAGGGTTAGGGTTAGGGTTACCTAACCATTTGTAAGGGTGTAGGTAGCACATCTCAAGGTGTAGGACAGGGAACTCCAACCCTGCTCCTGGAGAGCTACCATCCAGCAGACTTCAGTACCAGCCCTGTTCAGCACACCTGCCTATAATTATCAAGTAACCCTGAACAACTTAATTAGCTGGTTCAGGTGTGTTTGATTGGGGTTGGAGCTGAAATGAGCAAGACGGTAGCTCTATAGGAGCAGGGTTGGAGACCCCTGGTGTAGGCAACATTTCTAAAGGTTTAGGCTGAATTTCTAAAGGTGTAGGCAGCATTCCTATGGGTTGGGGGTTAGAAATTAATTGGGTTAAATTCAGGGCAATAGTCACATGCTTTCTGGAACTTCCATTTCACTCCTTTTTGAAACTTTTTCTGTCAAATTATGTAAACCTCAATATGGCAGTGCAAACTTTCCATTTGACAAGGCCTACGTTTCCTATGATTTCTATCATGTTATGCACTTACCCCTCTACACTTTTTGCTTAATTTGCTAGTATTAGAGCGAGCTGCACACACAGTCATCTCAGACTGCTCTGTTTATGCACCTTGCTGATTGATATTAACACCATAGAACCTTCATAAGATGAGTTCACAAAGCAGATACAGCTGCCTGTTTTCCTGTGTTATAAAGAAATGCGTTGATTTTATGAAAAGAGGTTGTATCTGACCACACAGACTGATGCTTTGTGAATGTGATAACCCTTCTAACTTCCCTTTGAATGCAACCTGCTTGTTTCTGAAACTAACCTGAATCTTTTTGCTCCAGAGGAAAATGCATAGCAATCTATAATGCATAGCAGTTTGATCTTAGACCTAGAACCCAAAGGCTTTGTTCAGACAGGCAGCAAAAATGAGATTCTTGCCACATGTGGCTCAAATCCATTCAGGCTGTACAGCATAAGCACTTCTGACAACCCCAATCCAAAACACATTCATCGATTATGACAGCTTGGACAGTCAGTCCTTAAGATCAGATTAAAAAAACTCATCCGATTTGTGTGCAGTATGAACAAAGCCATAGTAACCAGTCACTTAAAATTTCCTCATTGGTGAGACTTGACTCCTAAAACTTCTCTCCACCTCTCTGCACATTACGTGTTTTATATTTGTGTGTTTTTTGTCTTTACTGGAGCTTCTAAATGAGTCATTTTTCTTTGGAGTGAAACAGAAAGAGGAAACGTGTGACCTCAGAATGGTTCAGAGTTGTCATCTTTCTCTTTCTGTCTCAGAACCAGCAGCTGTCGCCTGCCGGGGGTGGAGGGGGAGTGGAGGAGGAGGAGCAGGGGGAGCAGGACAGCCTCATGCCTTCCGACGTGGCCAGTGACTCTCGCTCCCTCCGCCAAGGCGGCTCTAGCTCCCTGCACCCCCCGGAGGATGAGGAAGAGGAGGAGGAGGAGGAAGAGGAGGAGGAGGAGGAAGATGATTACGAAACCCACCGCCACCCTCACCCGTACCGGGACATGTACCCGCCCAAACATAACCACCCTGGTGGCATCCACAGCGCTAACGGACATGAGTCACAGGACCGACTCTTGCAGCAGAGAGACTCGCAGGACGGACACAACCAACGAAACAACCGCCAGCGCACGAGAGCCTGGCCAAGAGACAACTACTGAGCGCCTGTCTGGAGGAGAGGGTTGGGTCGTGAATTGGGGTGAGGGGTGATGGGAATTGGTGAGGAACTGGAAAGGCACAGTGTGTGTGTGTTTGAGCGTGTTTGTGGATGAAGCTGCCCATGGTTGACGAAAAGATCCTGTTGTTTTCGAAGCTTATGTGGTCGTTATTGTTTGAGGCATTGCACTACATTTGCTTTTAAAAGACGGCAGCTTTTCTCCTTTAAGATCACATGCATGTTCATATCGAAACAATATTTGAGCTTCCTCTGGAAACCCTAACCCCACGTGAGTCAAAAATGACTTTATTATTTTGCGTATCATACGCTCTCCCTGAACCTAATGAGCACAGAAGGCATTATGGGAAAAGAAAAAGCACTTTTATAGCATGGGATGTGAGTCACAATGAAAGATATTGTAGCATTTTGTTGCATCTTTAATGGCTTCTTTTTTGCTAGAGCTCTTGTAAATGTGAATATTACTCACTTTATTTGGTTCAAGCTCTCAGTCATGGTGTTGCCTGATTGGAGCCCATATGCACTTGTCTTATTATGAGTTGTTTATTGGTTCTCTGGACATCATTCAGGCAACTCACGTGAAAAGTCATTTTCACGGTCACGTTCACAGATGTAGCACACATTGCCATTTGCAAAGCACCATGTAAATGCGGTATATGTAGGAAAGGAATTCAGGTTTACACTCTGCTGTCGTATAGTGAAATATTATTGGCACTATAGTCTTGGTTTGCACGTGAGGTGAATTCCAACTCCAGAATGGAGAGCAGCAGTCGATCTTCCTGCATTTCTGTACTGCCTCATAAAGAAAGAACCTAATTAGGTCAGTGTCACTGAAAGTTTCTCTTTCTGGGAAATGAGAAGGACTGAAAACTGAAGTTATGTTATGTTTTCATATAGTAGATCAGTGCCCATATATTGGATTTTTATAGAAGTAGATGAAGCTCATCAGTTTTGATGTCCATTTTGTGATAGTCATGTTGTTCCTCTGTGACTTAAACGAGTAGAAAGTTGGGCGAGGTTCATATATTTTACACATCTGCAAGTAATTTATTGGTTGATCTTACCAGATACAGCATAAGGAGAAAGCCCACTAATAGAAAAATGAATGATGAGAAATCATAACACTCAAAATGGCGTCTGTAGGACAGGAAGTCCTGCCTTTCAAAAGAGCCAATCGCCTTAAGGCATCCTGGTCTGTTTTTGAACTTGCATGCATATTAGCTAGACTAATCTGATTTATAAAGCTAAAGAAGCTACATTTAGATTTTTGTATCATTGTTTCTGGGTGATTTTAACATTTTTGAAAGTTTTGGCAATCTCCCTATTAAAGTAGAGAGGAGTTGTACTTGCATGACTGGAAACTAGCATTACCAAAATGGCCACTAAATAAACTGCCTCAGGAGGAATTTGTCTTTACCAAGAAGAATGTGGCTCTAACAAGTGAGTGATCTTCCTCCGTCCTCTGTTTCTCGCCACTCTTTCCTCTCCGAGGCTCTGGGCGTCTAAGGGGGTGGTTACCATGGCCTACTTTAAAACATAGCGTCACATCTTGCTTTGGCGACACGTTGACTTCTAGCTAGTTTAATGACCTTATTGGTGGTGATTACATTAGCATATATCAGCCAGGTTGTGTTATGACTAAATCCAAGAAAGTTTGTCCCTTTTCCCATTACCTTGACTCTAGACTCGGATGTTACCTGTAGCAGCTTAGGCTAAGGTTTATCCAGTGTAGGACCATTCAAACTGGCCTTAATACTTACCTGTATATCTTTACCACTGCATGTCTCAAATACAATTATTTAGGACTATTTGCACATTAGGGTTGGAACAGGAACTTTAGAAAACTTTAAGTTTATTAGAGTAGAAAAATATACTCAGTTTTTCTTTTTTTACATTTAAAATCTGCAACGGAATATTAGGAACGCATCTAAGAATAGCTAGCGTGTATATATATATCGAATGAAATTTCACCAGATCCTAAATATAATTCTTTAGAACGTTACTTTACTTTGTATTTATGGATCTGTATGGTTTTTAAGAAATGTTGCAATGTTTACAAAGTCATTGACATGAGACACACTGAAATATAAGTAACGTTAGTTGTTGTATGGTTATGTAAAGTCACATAAAGTTGCAGTACACTCTAATGTAGCGCTGTAGTTATTGATTTGGTTCTTTTGCAAGAAAATGTACAATTAAAACATCTTTAGTATTATTAATTGTTGTGATGGCCTCTAGATTTCAGTGCATATCCAAAAATCGCCATCCAGAAAGAGAAATCTACTCTTTCCAATTTAATGCAATGTTTATACATAGGACATGTATTTAAGTATGATTTCACGTAGACTACACAGTTCTTTCAAAACATGCACAGAGACTTGAGTGAATGTATAGTTCCATGCCTTAACAACCTCTAGTCCTACGCACTAATGTATTGTCCTCCAGAGGGATGGTGCTAAATTGACTGTCCCTCAGTTGATTGTGTTGCATTGATTGTACTGGATCTGTACACTCCCAGAATGCACTTTCGGAAACATCCTCCCTCCTATTAGATTGTAAAGACTTATCGACCAAAATTGATGTCTGATATGAAGATTGAGCCATCAATGTGCCCAGCGTAGTATTAGGACAACATCACTAACATAGTATGTTAGCATCTTAGCTTAATGCTGGAGAGGGTTTATGTATACCTGAAATACACTGAAATTCAAACAGGGAAAACAACACTTACTAGTGGCTACTACAGTACACGTGACGTGGTGAATGCTAAGGCTTGAAACATATTGTACACAAGTATGTGAATGCAAGTGTTTCAAGCTACATCGTTTCAAAATGTGTCCGACCACAATTCTCTTCAAACTCTTGCTCCACCATGACAGTCGTTGATGTGAAGAAGAAAACTTACCCTAGAAGAAGATGCAGTTTATGCTAATGCACACTGTAGTGCCCCAGCATATGCTGGTTAGGTATGTTTTGACGCTGGGATGCTGGTTTAAGCTGGTCCTTTGCTGGTTTATGCTGGTCCTTTGATGGTTTATGCTGGTCATGTGCTGGCAAAGGACCAGCATAAACCAGCAAAGGACCAGCTTAAACCAGCATCCCAGCGTCAAAACATACCTAACCAGCATATGCTTGTTCTTTCAACAGGGTTGTGAGAATGTAATACCAATTACATAGTTATAAGCATTTGTGTTTGCATACTATGAGTATGCAGACTATGTTTCAGAACCAAAAGAGCCTTTCCATGTCAGATTGAAGATTCCCCACTCTTGCCTTTCTAACATAAGTTCAAATTGATGTAGATTGTGTCACGGCTCTGGACACTGCGTTTACAGCACCAATCTTGAAGCAAAACTTTGCATTGGCCATTTAGAGGGTCATGAGAAATGTACATGTTCTGGGGTGTGGAAGTCAGGGTAAAAGTCCACTAACAAATGCCTTGACCAATCCTCTTGACCAGTCCTTTAGTGTACTGCATCTTTATTTGCTATCAACATGTCTCACTTTAATCTATTGTTCTATATTTTAAAAAAGAAAGAAAATCAGAGCATGACTGAAAAAAAATTCTATGCAAGTGTTGCATGTGATCTGATCGTTTCTTTAGATTGTTTCTGATCTACTTTAGTACTGCATTGATTCTTGTTGTAAGTATTATTCTATTTAGTAAGAAAATTCACCCTCTTTTATACTGAGCACAGACAAGGCGCTTCTGCCGCAAAGTTCATTTTCTTTGAATAGCTCATTTTCAATCTCATGGGCTTCAATACCTCCAATGTTATTTTTTATGTTAACGCTGAACCATAGCACATATTTGGATTGATGTAATAAAGGAATGTTCCAGGTTCAAGCTGTAATGAAAGAATCGGACAAAGACAGAATCTGATCACAAGAAAGCCACAAGACTTATATAATAATTAGACGTCTATATTAAGTTATATCTAATCTTTCGACTCCTCTCATGATCATGAAAAGTGGTAACACATAATCAGAAGTACAATCCCATTAAGTTTTTGTAAGAATTGGTATAAGCACTTTAACAAAACCACAAGCTGCACATTTCTGCTTTTAAACCCTCCAGAATGTTTTGTCCCATAGACTTCCATTGTAAGTCCATTACTGTACATGTGATTTGAAAGAGACGAGTCCAAATTGTTCTATTGTGTCAACAGAGCTCAACTTTTTAACTTGGAACATTCCTTTAAATAGCATTAATCAGATACTTTTATGTAAGTCAAGAACTTGCATTGTTGTAGCTGATATTAAGACTGAGAAAAGAGATTATTTATATGATCCACAATGCACAGTGTAAAAGAGCATGTGTACTGTGTGATAAACTGTATGAGGTTCTGTCATAGTATGATCTAAAAACAAGATTTGCATGTCTTAGTACATGTAAATGTACATGATACAGTTTTTCCCCTTCTGTTATGGCATCACATCGTTTTCTAGAGGACCAATACAGAATCCATAACAAACACTGATTTATTTATATTTTTCTTCTTTCTGGTGTATTAAGAAGCACAATTTTTACAATGGGTATAATTTGAGTCCTTTGTCTTCAATTCTGTATGCAATACAAACATGGAAAGAAAACGCCTTAGAACATTAACACTTCCTCTTCTGTGTAAGTAGAGAAAATATATTGCACTATTTTTTTTCTTTTTTGATGTCTGCTTTGTAATGCAATAAATGCACTAGGTAGAACAATAATTGCAATGGACACTTAATTGGTCCTCAGGCGTTGATGTAGGTACACACTTTCTCTCTCTCGCCCCTTCATCTTTCTGACAACACGAAAAACAAAATCCTGCCTGATGCTGTATATGCTTTCTATTTAAAGAAAATGCCACTAGTTATAATAAAAACAAAACATTTTATGTACTTTTAACACTCCAGTCGTGTCTCAGTTGTTTAATCATTGCTCACATTTGATTACAAGTGAGTTTTTTTGTTGTTTTTCTTTCTTTTTCATTTAGATATATATGCCAAAGAATTCATCACTACTGTCAATAATATTCAATATTCAACGTCTTAATACACATTATTTGCCTTTTAAAGTGCTGATATCATAATCTTTCAACAAAATATGTAACTCGTCCCCAAAATCTAAATTTTACACCCTTCACCTTCAAATACCTCGGAATTAAAGGGGTCATATGATGCGATTTCAATTGTTCCTTTCTCTTTGAAATGTACAATAATAATGAAACAATAATGTACAGTATGTGGAAAATAATGTTTTTTGAACCTTAAACCGCATAAACACATTTCATTACACCAAATAATGTTCTTTTTAGCAACATCATATGACCCCTTTTAAGGTCGATTCAGTAGCTAAGTTATCAAGCTAGCGTTAGCATCGCTGTTCTTAAAGTGTTATAAGTACCGATATCACAATGTTGTTAGAAGCTGCCATCTATTGACGTGGATGAGCATGATCGTCTCAGGAGTTTTATGTAAATCAGATATTAATGAGTTTAGAGAGCTACAATACAATAATTAATTCACTTCCGCCAAACGAAGCAACTTGGTCATCAAATCTTTCCACCTTGTGTTTGCCGAGCCGATGTTTGCGCTCGTTTTTTGTCTTTTATCAGTCCTTCTGGCGTCAGATTTTTTGCTTCGACGGTCGTACATGTACCGACTCTCGTCGTCTCCGCTGGTAAATCACGATAATAAGCGTTTAATTGTCTATTTTCCACTCTTCACATCACCAAACAAACATAAAAAACACATTTTATAAGAAACTATTGAGAGTACAGCCTTCAACTCATGTGTGTACAGCATTCCGATGGCTCTTCACAAAAACAGTTCATTTCTTAATTTGTAAAATTACCACCAAAGTGCTGAACGCACCTTTAAGTCCACTTTTCACTGTCCTGTTAATTCTTAATGGATCAAATCAAGCACTGCCCTCCTTTTTTTTTTTCAGTAAAATACACAAATTCTAAAGAGAATTTACTTCAGTTTCATGTTGGCTTAGTGACATTTTTAAAATGTCTTATTTTTTGGCAGGGTAACTTTAGTGACTGCAGGACAGATTATCATTAAAGATTTTTACAGATCAATCTGCAATCAAGCACTCCTATAAAAAAAAAATAAATAATCAAATGAATTTCAAACGACAGTTTAGTCAGTCTAAAGGACTTTATTATTTATCCATAGAGTGCATGAACAGCCCTCAGTGCATTAAAATCAAACATAATTATTACATGAAATGTGTAAAAAAGAAAAGATGTGTGCGGTTCTACAATTTTATGTTTGACTAACTGTCCATC